TATTATTTTTTTCTCATCTTACTTAATACAATTGTTTTTCTCGCTAATGATTTCCTGTTACCCTTCATTCATCTCAATAGGTTGGGGGATGGGTGACCGAGTATGGACACATCCTAACGTTTGCGACAGTTCGCGGAGCTGCTCATATGGTGCCTTACTCGCAGCCAAAAAGAGCTCTTCTCCTCTTCAAATCATTCGTAAATGGTCAAAGACTACCAATTACAGCTGATCCTCCCATTAATGATGAAGATCGCAGCTGAAGATGCATTCATGAAAGGAAGTATAGGATTCAGAATGTTACACTTTCCTTTTTTTTTACTAGCATTGAAGTGAAAAAATGGGTTGAATGTTTCAATTTCTCATTCATGCTCTTCCCCTTTATTCACTTCAATATAGAATTACAATTCCTACTACATCAGCTGTTCTTTTAGTTATTGATAATGTGGAAATTGATGTGAAAAATGGATATCTAGATCGACTCAAGATGCATCCGAGAGATCCCGAGTTTAAAGCCTTGCATATACGGTGTGCGTGTGAGAAATAATAATTTACTTTGGGAAAACCACATCAATAGAACATCTTTTAAGGTAAAAGAGAAACAAGATCAATACACAAGAATTCTAAGCATGCCGATAAGATTATATACTACAAAATTATCACATAAAATTATAAATTACGATGATTAAAAGCAGTATGCTTAATTTTCATTTCAGGCTAACCATCTATATGATTTCATGAACATAGAGTCCAACTTGTGAAAAAAGAAGCTCAATATTTTAATTATTATCATCATTAGTCAGATAGGGTTGGTGTAGCTCCTGTGACGGCTAAAATTATTGAAAGTCGTCTTAGATGGTTTGGTCACCTCCTGTGGCGGATAAAATTAGTGAAAGCCGTCTTAGATGGTTTGGTCACATTAAGCATCGACCATCTCATAATCCGTTTAGGAGAGTAGATGTTTTAGATTCGACTTATGTTAATAAAGGCAGAGATAAACCTAAAAAGACTTAGGCTTATTGTATATAAAATGATCTTAATTTATTAGAACTAAATAAAAATATGACACTAAATAGGACGCAATGGAGAAAAAGGATTCATGTCCCCGACCCGTGTAATGGGATTAAGGCTTTGTTGTTGTTGTTGTATTAGTCAGATATCCCTAAATATTCTAGGCCCAATTTTATGACTCCTCATTTTCAATTCATTTATGCTAAATATTATCAGTTTTTCTTTTCTTTTGCTTCGGTGAATTTGAAAATTTTATTTCAGTCGATTCAATAAAATATAAGATGAAGCAATTTAAGGCTAATCCTCTCCTATGGATATGTTTTTGGGTTGCATGCCTGAGTACAAAATCATATAGATTCCGGATACTAATGATAGCTTTTTCTGCAATCATAGTGGCCTAATAAAAGAGAAGCAAATAATAGTTTATCTGAAAAGGCATAGTTCTCAATCCAAGATAAAACAAATTAATTTAAACATGGTTATGCTGTCCTTTAAATTAGTAGTTGAATGTATGTATTTTTATGAAAAATTTTTATTAAACCTTATTTCTTTTATTTCATAAAAATTTACAGGTTCAAAATTTAAATGAAAAAAAAAACAACAATTCATATACAAATCAAAATATAATCATATATCAATAAAATTAATCATATAAAAAAAAAGTGAGTCAAACCACACAATTCTTATATATTTATAAATCAAACATTTAAAGTTTCTTATTTATATTTATAACATTCAACTTTAACCTCACATGAAATACACATTTTCAAATGTAGGTTTATGACACACCAATGTTATGAGTGCAAATATCAAACTTTATGTGTTATATAAATACATAAAAACTGCGCGGTGTGTATGCAAATTTCTCAAAAAAAGAAATATTTGAAACAGTAGGGGCTGTTTGGTTAAGCTTTCAAGTGGGATTTATGTCGGATTAACAATAAATCCAGTCCATAATAAAATTCTCCCACAAATCTAACTCCACTTAAATCTGAGTTAAATCCTACTCGCAACTAAATATTCCGTCCGGACGGCTAACAACCGGGTGCCACATCGCCATACAACTCATCGGCAGACGACACGTCACGTCCGGACAGCTAGCAACCATGCGCCACGTCGCCATACTCCTCATCGGCAGGCGACGTGACCGTCGATGGTTGTCCGGACATCCGGGACCGACGGAGCCACGTCGCCACACACCTC